TTGTTGGTTTACCCCCCCTTTTTTTTAATTAGCCACCCCACTTTCAATTTGCTACCGACGCCCAGTGGCGTAGCTACCATTAGGCACTTAAGGCACGTGCCTACACTTAATTTTTTCAGAAAAAAAAATCAAAACATAATTATAATAAAGAAAGAAAATAAATAGCCAAATATCATTTTGGCCGATATGAATTAAAAATGTCCTCGACGCTAACAAGCTGTGGTACTGATAGATATTATATATATAATATTGCCAGGTCATGGTGGGTATTTTTAAGGAACAATCAAACAAAAACTTTGTTTAAATTTCCAAACTGGTAAGTCAGATAAATATATAAATATAGATACATCTAGAAAGAAGCAACATTTAGAATCGTTTTTCAAAACGTGTGTGTGTGTGTGTGGGGGGGGGTGTTATCAGAAAGAATCTGACAATATAACTTGGAAAAAACTTTGTCAATCCTTTAGGAGATTATTATTGAGGGGACATAAGCATAACGCACTTTTGTTTTCTATAGTATTCAATACATCTGTAAAATTATTATTATCCCCCTCCTGTGCTCCTCCAGTTCCTACGGCCATGAGATTACAACCAGTTTTCCTCTTCGCTTAATACAATCTATAGCTATGCATGATATTTCAATAATTTTCCTCTTTTTTAACTTCCTCTTACGGAAGCGTAAATGGCTCTACACTTGTTGTGTTATAACTCGATATATAATCTTACTTTTTATTGTCTTATTGACATGTAACGTGTTATGACCATTTTACTTTTACTTATATGTTGTGTTAACTTATATCTAAAAAGTTGGGCAATAGTTTGTTTTATAAATGTCGTTTGATGAAAGTTAAATTAAAAAATTCGAATTTCACTTACAACAGTTTTCAGTAAGTATACATATTCCACCCCCCCCAAAAAAAACAGTTCAAAATTAAAAAAAATATGTAGAGTATATTTCACTACATACTTTAATGCACAACTACGTAGAACTTTTGCTTAGAAATCTTTAAATGCTTAGATCAAACTGTACTTACGTCTTTTGGAAAGATTAACGGCTGGCCTGCTGACACCTTACACCGACATCTTCTTCACGTGACGTTGTGGCGCGCCCGCGAAAAAAATCGACAACATTACTTTTTTTTCAGAACATATTGACATATTTTTATCGATAAAAGTAATTAGTATATATTTTTATTGCAATATGTCTTAATAAATATTTAGATGTGATTACATTGCATTCATATATCGTTATTTTTCAAATCAATAATTTGTTCAATGGATTTAATTTTTAGCAATAAAAACTATCAAACAGAAATAAACGCTTTAAATTATGTAAAAATATTTAGATATAACACAACATATAAGTAAAAGTAAAATGGTCATAACACGTTACATGTCAATAAGACAATAAAAAGTAAGATTATATATCGAGTTATAACACAACAAGTGTAGAGCCATTTACGCTTCCGTATCTTTTAGTATTTTCTATGGTGGCATATTTCTGCCTCCTACATGCAAGACAAATTATGTTAACATGCAAGAAAATTATGTCATCATGCAAGAAAATTATGTCAACATGCAAGATAATTATGTCAACATGCAAGAAAATTATGTCAACATGCAAGATAATTATGTTTACATGCAAGTTACAAATCTTTTAAGAGAAACTGGTTTTAAAATGGGTAAAATCCCGTACAGACAGTCGCATCTGATATCGTAGATCTGCAAGATATTTATGTTAACATGCATGATACTTATGTTAACATGCGAGATAATTATGTAGACATGCAAGACATTTATGTTAACATGCAAGATACTAATGTTAACATGCGAGATGATTATGTAGACATGCAAGATATCTATGTTCACATGCAAGATAATTATGTTAACATGGTACTTATTTATGTCAATATGCGACTTAATTATGTGAACATGCAAGTTATATTTTTACATAAAAGATATTTATGTCAACATGCAAGATAATAAGTTACATATCAACATACATAATTTATCTTGCATGTTAACATAAATAAGTCGCATGTTGACATAATTATCTTGCTTGTTGACATAAATAAGCTGCATGTCTAAACATAATTATCTTGCATGTTGACATACATAAGTTGCATGTTGACATAATTATCTTGCATGTTGACATAAATAAGTCGCATGTCTACATAATTATGTTGCATCTTGCAACTACAATGTCAAATACGAGTGTTAGAAAGTAAGTAAATTTAACCATATTTAAATTATATTTTCTGATAAGATTGGTCACTTGCATGTCAACATAATTAACTTGCATGTTGACATAAATATGTTGCATGTTACATAATCATGTTGCATGTTAACATAATTTATCTTGCATGTAGTGGGCAGAAATATGCCACCATAGCACAACTTAAGAAATGACACCGTTTGTACATTTCACGCCATTTTCACTGCATCCAAACATGTCACAACCGGCGCGGATACCCGGCAATGATTAATTTTCACTCTAACCCATTCCTTCCGGATACGCTACAACAAATACTTTTTATTTTCAACTACGCTTTTTATTCACATTTTGAAATTTTATTTTAGTTTGAATCATTTAAGCACGAACATGTGACTGATTTGAAATTTTTCCCATCCAGAGGGGTTTAAAGTCCATAAATTGTTTCTAAAGTAATAATTTTATTTATTCAATTTACATCGGCTTTTTCATAAACTACTCGTATCTTAATTACTTTGATTCAAACTTTTGAAATTCTGTTTCAATATGCCCGCTCTATCTTTGGCCAGTATTGAACTGCTAGACTTGTTTTCTGGGGCCCGTTTCACAAAGCCTACTTAGGACTAAATTATAATTTATCTTAGGAAAGAACTTTTTCCCAAGTTCATTACTTATCCGTTTCACTAGCGCCGTTTTATCTTACCACTTATGATATTCCTAAGTTTTAGTTTTCACTTGGCACAAAGCGGAAGCACTCGTTATTATGTAGATAGCGTACATGTAGGTAGCAACTCGGAACTCTGTCATAGATAATTATAAAGATTAAAAAAAACTATGGGAAAGGTGTCTAAATTCACAGAAAACTCAAAACTATACATGTACTTGTACGGTAAAATAGAACACAGTGACAATGTCAATATGGAAGGGTATCTTTTGCCTGAAAAAAATTTTAAGAATAGACAAATGCGAACTAAATTTCGAACAAGTGACCACTGCCTAATGATAGAAACTGGTAGGCATAAGAAAGTACCTCGACAACAAAGATAACATGTGATGCTTTTCGTACTGTGTGTTAATTGTTCTATCAAATATGTTTACAGGGATTGGGAGATGGTACGCTTTACCTTTCCTTTTAACTGTTTTTGCATACAGAACAGCCATATCGTGCTGGTCTACCCATGATTGTTTACATTTCAATCGTGTAAAGTAGTCTTGAACTGAATGCATTCAAAATGTTACACATATCTTGAAAACTTGTTTATTATAGGAAATATATTAACTGACCGTAAATAAATTCATTATCTTATCTATTTATTTTGTTTTTAGTGAAAAAATCTATTTTCATCTATAAATTTCAAACTGAACTAAAAAAATACGTGATTCGAACACTCGCGACATATACATGTAACTGGGTGCTTCAACACAGCCGTTATGACCACTGAGCCACGAAGTCGCACATATAATACCCTTTAAATAACAAACAGTTTTATATGTATAGCAAGTTTTGGACTTGATTTTTTGAGAATATGTTCCGAAATTTAAGTAGGTAAACTAACTTTTTCATATAGAGTGGGTCTTCGTACCATTTTTTTGAAAAAGGTGAGATACATCCTTCCATACCCTTTCAATATTTGTTTACAAAAAATGGTACGAAGACCCACTCTGTATAAGAAACACAGTTTTAACATTCCATTTCTATCATTTTTACAATCAATTTCTAAGTCATTTGATTCAGGTTTTATCTTTACTGTATGCATATGGTTATAAATAACTCCCAAATTTAACAAAAAGTGGAATTTGTAAGAATTTTTTAACTTGATATTTTACCTGCCCTTGCGTATGCATATGACTCGCCTAATCCCCCCAGATTCTTTCCTGTTAAACTTTGATACCCCATTTTGACCCCACCCTACCTTGAATCTATACTAGCAGAGGATGTTTCTTTCCATCTTTCCTGGCCCTGTGGTTTTTAAGATTTTTAAAATGCCATTTATTTTCCATTAATTAAAAATTATAAGCCCCTCATTTGAACAAACCTGAACCCCCTTTACCCGAGAATACATTGTGGCAAGTTTGGTTGAAATTGGTCCAGTGGTTCGTGAGAAGATGTAAATGTGAAGTTTACAACACCACCAGACAACGGACAAATTTTGATCAGAAAAGTGGACTAAAATATTTTACATTTTCAAGCTAAATATCAACATTGTAGAGTAGATTTCAGATTGGAAACCCTTGGCTAACGCAGATGGCTAAATATATACTTCAATAAATATCTAATTATATCAATGTCTTATGTGCTTTACTTTAAAAATATGTCCACTCGTGATCAGTCAACCAAATCGTGGACATTTAAACCATAAAGGTATGTCAGTTGCACATACGATTCCTGCAGATCACAAGCAAAACATGCCCATCTTCTTCCTTGTTGTCATGAATGATGCAGGATAACCTCCCCTGTCTCCAATTGTATGAAATATGAAAGCCTTAGCATTATTTAGCCCCTTCACACTTACAAACAATTATAATCGTTTTAAAGTTGCCCAGTCATGGTTCTGTTCAAGAAACTAAATGTACATTGTTTTCATTGAATTTGCCTCACCCCATCTTAAATTCACCAATTGCCTATCTACAGCAAAAGGTGTGAAAATAAAATGGTTGAAAAATTTTTTTTGCAGTATACAGTATGAACTGATTGATCACATCATAAAACCGGAAAACTAGATAAAAACCATGGAGCCTTTATTCTTGCCAAAAATGCAAAAGAACTAAATGAAAACAAAAGATAGCATATGATAACCCAAGTCTTTATTTAGTTGCTACAGTTGTAGAGGGTGCAGCTGCTGCACGCTTTCTGGGTTTGGGAGTTGTTCCTTCACGGAATCCATTCCTAGAAGTAAAAAAAAAAATTATGCGTTTTTAATAATAGGCTATAAACATTCCCTATTTTCAATTTAGCACTTTGTTCAAAGTATCAATTGTTTTCATCTGAGCATCATGCAACAAATTTCCAACAAGTGAATTTGGTTCATGTTTTAAACCAAAGGCCATGACATTCACAATTTTGAAAGAGGCACCATTGTTCATCATAACTAGAGGACTGTGAGCACTTAGCTCAAGATACCCCCTGCCTCCCATATGATCATCATGGCTAAGCCCATGTTTTGCTCTTGGAGACCCAAAATGTAAAATAGGTGTACAATGGCATTAAGTAATAAAGAATCTGTGAAAAGTATCACTAAATTTCATCCAGGAGGATAGCAATCTGATTAAAATCTTATCCTTTGATCCGCTCAAATAAATCACTACAAAGGGACAGGGGTAGACCAATAGAATTTTGCAGTACTTGCCCTCAGACAAGTTACCATCGTAAAACTACTTGTCCTACCAAAATATATGCTTGTCCCACCTTTTTCTTAAATTACACAGAATTGAAGCATAGATATTAAATTATTTCTTGAGTGAGACACCTAAACACGTCACAGATCATCTCAGATCTAAAATCATGAAATTCTTCCACAGATAAATTTAGAGGAAAATTTTTAATATTAAGAAGTATTCTTCCTCAAAATTCTGCAATAAGATACACCTTTTTTAAAATTAATGTTGTATTTATCTAATGGAAAAGGGTGAAGATATCGGACAGTGGTCAATCTAATAAAACCTACAAACATGAATCTGTGAACAGAATACTACTGCATGTCAATTACTGTATCGACATCATGGCTGTGTGATTGCCAGGAAACAGCAATCAACAACAATCTTAATACCACTTAGACTAGCACCTGTATTTCATAGTATGAATTTAATATTTTAACAATAAATGTATAAATTCCAATACAACGTTTTCGACGACATCGATAATTCCATGTTTTACGACATCTGCATATGTTAACAACACGTTAATGGGTAAATTCTAAAGGATTTCTGACTATTCAATGAAGAAGGCTGATGCAGTCAGAGATTTATCTACCTATTTTGTTTTACTATCGTTTTATATATGAAGGGGACAAATGAGAACTGAAGGCTCGATCTGAGCGCGGGAGGCGCGAGTATGCTAGGGGGTCCGGAAAATTTTTAAATAAATGGAGCAAAATCCTGCATTCTTAGAGCTTCTGAGGGTCATTTCTAGGCCTTTACAAAGCCCACAAAAACTTCTCTTTTAGACAAAATATGAAATAATAAAAAAAATTTTAAACTAGGTCAGTACTTTATTTAATTTTTTTCTCTGAATATCTATCACAAATCAATTCTCCTGTTTCCCATGTTTCACTACTAACATTTGTTGTTACTCCATTCTTCCGATTCATAGTAGTATAAGCTCCATCTTACTCATCTACACTTTTCTTTTTAACTCTGCAGTCGCATACGTATCCTTCGACATCATGGACATGGCACATTTTTACTGATCAATATCAAATAGAAGCTTGAATAATCTTTTCTTTATTCTAAAAGCCTTTGAATGACTAGGATGTGCTGTTGAATGACTAGGATATGCTGTTAAACTTCAATCGGACAAAACGGAAAATTTCAGAAAAATGTTTTAAATATTCTCTGTTTAGTAATGGAATTTTCTATCTGAAAAAGGGAATTTTTGCACCTTTTTCAAGAGGGGAAAGGTACTGTTTACTGGTAGTAAAAACAGCCTTGATAAATCCCTGGCAGTGGTCAACAGCAGTGAAAACAGGTGCTTTGCTGTGATTCATGATACTTTAAAAGCGACAACGCAAAAGATATTTGAGTACTGTACATGATTTTTTTTTGTTAATTGGAAAAGCACTTATCCGCGGGCAGGCACCTGTTATCAAATTACTTGCCCACCAACCAAAAATGGTTGTCCCAGGCATCGGGCAGTGCTATTTGTCTAGCCCTGAGGGTTCCGAAGAAACCTTCTTCAGGGTCATCAGGAGATGACCTTTCAATTATCCAAATGTTCACTTCAGAAGTATCTCAGAAATCAGTTGCAGAAGTGAAAGCCCCGATGATATACGAACAGAAAATCCTGACCTGGTTTCCCATAGCCTGCCAAAAGAATGACCACAGTCTTTTCTGTACAGAAATATAAGAAGTACTTGCTTTTGGTTTGTTTTTTAGCTCTTTGTTTTGTTCAAAAAGATAAAATTTTCTCCACAGCTACTTTCACTTCTACATTCTTTTTCCCAAATGTTGCTTAAATATGAGCTCTCTGGTTGGTGAAAATTTCGATATTTTTATTAGGTCACCAGGAGATGACCTTGAATGGGGTTTCTTCAGATCCTTGTGTATCAATCTACGTTAGCGGATCAAAGGATCTGATTTTAATCAGATTGAGAAGCAAAGAGAGGATTTTCAAAGAATTAATGCATTTTCTCTATATAATTAATAGAGCCCTGCCCTAACACCAGAACCTCTGACCCTGGCCATGAAATTCACAATTTTTGAAGAGGCACCCTTCATCACCATGAATATACATTAAGTTTGTTTGTTTGTTGAATACCTAGAAGCAGAGAAGAAGATTTTCAAAGTAAATGTATTGTAAATTGTTATCCTAGAAGAAAATGTCGGTATGTGGTGTATCAGTATATATTATTTTATGGGTTTCAAATCGTATTTATTTTATTTCAGCCTTAAGTTTCGATTCACACTGTCTCTACATATATTTCTGTTTTATTCCATGCTATCGGATTGACTCTGCATCTCGTAAGAATCCCACAATTTCTCCTTAAACAGCATTCCATTCTGCATGTTGAAATTTCCTTAGGTAAACTTCCATTGTGGAAGTGCATAGAGAATGTTTCACTTATTAGGATAACCTCCGCAAGAGTTTTGGCATGATGTAGTAATCTTTCTCGGGTGTTATCATACATTCTCTATACACTTCTGTTGCGTTTACCTAAGGAAATTTCAACGTGCAGACTGGAATGCTATCAGTGTGAATTGACACTTTAGGTTGAAATAAAGCAAGAGACGTTTGTAAAACACTTATGCCCCCCCCCTTTCCCCAAACTGGAATTTTTCCAAGTTCAAGGGGCATATCTCTGACAAAAATGGTGCGATTGTATCCAAAACAAAATTTGACCTAGATATTCATCTGATAAATCTGTATACCAAAATTCACTTCAATATGTGCAACCTCTGCAAAGAAAATGAACGGAAACTGCAAATGAGTAGAATTTTTTTTAAGTCTAAGGGGCATAACTCTAAAAAAAAAATGGCGCGATCATATCCAAAACAAAACTTGACCTAGATACCCTAAAATCTTGAAAATAAGCCGCGGCTTATTTTAAGTTTTGGTAAGAAAGTTGGGGCTTATTTTCAAAACAGGCTTATTTTCAAATTCCGGCTTATTATCAATGATGCAAAAAACTGGTAAGAGAAGAGAGCTCAATTTCGGTTTATTTTCAACACAATCATTGAATAAAGTGTAATCAATAGAATAGGAAGTACTTGTTCGATGTAAAATTAAACCATCTTGAATATAATAAAATAAAATAATTACAATAATACTTTGTTCAGTATCTTGCGTGTAGAAAAAAATACTGTAAAAGTGGAAAGTTTGACAAGGAGGAAACATTTACGAATGACTTTAGCTCGTCAAAGTTTTCCCTCGTCATTTTTTTTATTCATTGGCATTCCCCGGTGTACGTTTTCTTTAGGTCTATGTTGTAATCGTTTACTTTATATTTTGAGAATGTCGATCCCGAAAAGATAATTTCATTGTTTACAACTTATAAATTTACATGAAATATAAACTTGTTTTTAAAAAGTAAAAATAAAATATAAGATATCCGCTTGTAATTGAATCACTTGATAAAATAGTCAAACAAACACATATTCAACCAACTCAATTATACGGTACATTGAAATGTAATTACTACCAAGCCCTGCCGATTAGCAGGTTTCTCGCCTCGGGCAGTGTTACCTGACAGTTAAATGCTTTACAAACAAAATCTTCCTTTTATCCGTTTACTTATTTAATTATAACAATTTTAAACACACTGTTAGCTTGTACAGGTCTGGATGAGATAATTATAATTGTTTCCGAAAATTTTATGAAAAAAACATTCACCATGTTACTGGTTCCGCAATGAATTTTTTTTAGCCAGCGTAACATGCTTACTGGTAAAAAAAAATAATAACTTTAAAAACTACCCTCTATTAGGAATTTTACATAAGTTCATTTGTTTCTACAGACTTAGTTCGTACCATGTCGTATGCAGAAATTGGTAAAGGTTAAATGAATTAAAGAAAGATAACTCAGTTTTATTTTGCACAGTAAAAAAATCGTTGAAGTTTTCAATCGTCAAATTTTTAAGACAAGGCAATTGTCAAACGTTTAACATCTTTCCCATATGGCATTGTCATGACCGGCTTATTTTCAAAACTGGCTTATTATTAAATCCGTCTTATTTTAAAGATTTTAGGGTATTCATCTGATTAATCTGTATACCAAATTTCATTTCAATAAGTGCAAGGGTTGAGAAGAAAATGAACAGAAACTAACTGGACCAAGCAACAGACAGCAGCAAAGCAATATAATGCCAGTCTTCGAAATAACCTGGGTGCCCCATGCCCGGGACCTGGTAAATTTGCCAGCGGGTATGTGAAAATTCTCAAATTACATGCCCGAAGGGCATGTTTAAATTTTCTTTCAATTTATGATGTTTACTTGCTATTTCTTCTGTTGTACCCCCGTTATTCGTGAAAACTTGCTGTGTAATGTCTTAATCTGAATTGCCAGTCTACCATCTTAACATTATCGGTACGAGTCAAATGATTGTCAATCATAATCATTAAAGTGTTTAATTCAACCGAATGCTTCATGCTAAATTACAATATGTTTATTGATACCATGTGCAGTGGACTGCTGACATGATGATCATTATCCTATTTCAGAAATTCAGTTAAGCTATACCGGCCAACAAAAGACCCGCATACAGTCAAAAGTTGTGAACAAAAACACATACGAAAATGGCAGACAGGCATTCAAAACTCTGGAAACAATTTAAACTAAAGATCGAGAGAATTTAAAAACAGAAACACTGTCCTTATAGTTATTATAAAAACCTTATTTTCTATTGCACAATCATATCTCTGCTATATGAATGAATTTTGAGTAGGGCATGTACAAATTTCAATGGGCTGGGTTAAATGACCGGTATACATGCCCGCAGGGCATGTGCTGAAAAAGAATTGTTGTGAAGACTGTAATGCCCTCCCTTCTTTGAAGGGGGCATAATAAATACATGTTTTTAAACCCATAAATACCAGTGGTGGTCCAACGTAAACAAACCGGAGTGGCATACCTTTCTCACTTATAATGTGTAGTGGGGTATTTATTTGTGGAGCGATTATTTTGGGGTTTTAACGTTTTTTTATATTGTACTTTTGATGAATGATTGGAATGAATATTATTTAATGTATAATAATATATATTTTAATATAATATAAAACAAGAGGCCCATGGGCCACATCGCTCACCTGAGAAGCTTTGACCATTCTGTTCTTTACTAGATTTTCCCCTTGTAATACATATTGTGACCCCACCCTACCCCACTGATCATAATTTAGACAATTTGAAATCTACACTACCCCAGGTTTGCTTCCACATAAGTTTTGGCTTTTCTGGCCCTGTGGTTCTTGAGAAGAAGATTTTTAAAGATATTTCCTTTATATTTCTATGTAAAACTTTGATTCCCCATTGTGGCCCCGCCCTATCCCCAGGGGTCATGATTTGAACAATTTAGAATCTACACTACCCCAGGATGCTTTCAAATAAGTTTCAGCTTTTCTAGTCCTGTGGTTCTTGAGAAGAAGATTTTTAAAGATTTTTCCTGTAAATTTCTATGTTATACTTTGATTTCCCATGGTGGCCACGCCCTACCCCGGGGGTCATGATTAGAACAATTTAGAATCTACACTACCTCAGGATGCTTCCATACAAGTTTCAGCTTTCCTGGCCCTGTGGTTCTTGAGAAGAAGATTTTTAAAGATTTTTCCTGTAAATTTCTATGTTATACTTTGATTTCCCATGGTGGCCCCTCCCTACCCCGGGGGTCATGATTTTAACAATTTAGAGTCTACACTACCCCAGGTTGCTTCCACATAAGTTTCAGCTTTTCTGACCCAGTGGTTCTTGAGAAGAAGATTTTCAAAGATTTTTCCTATATATTTCTATGTAAAACTTTGATTCCCCATTGTGGCCCCGCCCTACCCCTGGGGGTCATGATTTGAACAATTTAGAATCTACACTACCCAAGGATGCTTCCACATAAGTTTCAGCTTTTCTGGCCCAGTGGTTCTTGAGAACAAGATTTTTTAATGACCACACCCTTTTTTGCCTTTTCTTGATTATCTTCCCTTGTGAAGGGACTTGGCCCTTCATTTTAAGAATTTAAATTCCCATTCACCCAAGGATGCTTTGTATTAAGTTTGGTCAAGAGAAGAAGTCGAAAATGTGAAAAGTTTACGGATGGTGACGGACAAAATGTGATCAGAAAAGCTCACTTGAGCCTTCGACTCAAATGAGCTAAAAATGTACAACAAGCCCCGGGATTGAATATTTAGGGGGTGTCCAGTCCACAAGTACCTGTGGATCTTTCTTTAAAAAAAATTACATTTGAAAAACAAGAGGCCCTTGGGCCACATCGCTCACCTGAGTAATACGGCAAGGAAAAAAGCATAAATCAGTTTATTATTGAAAAGTTGAAACCCACTAGTGGTCCCAAACAATCCTTAAGAGGGAGAGGGTATGATATGAACAAACTTGAATCTACACTAACTAAGGATGCTTGCATATTTCTTTAACTACCTGTGGCTTTATTGCCCTTTACATTTGAACTTAAATTGTGGCCCCACCCTGCACCCAGGGGTCATGACTTGAACAAAATTGAATCTACACTACCTAAAAATGCTTCCATATGAATAGGGCTAATCATGGCTTTGCTATTTTTGAAAAGAAGATTTTTAAAGATTTTTTTTAAGCATGTTTCTTTGTAAAACTTAGATTCCATGTTGTGGCCCCGCCTTCCCCCAGGGGTCATGTTTTGAACAAATTTGAATCTACACTACCTGAGGATGCTTCCCTATAAGTTTCATCTTTCCTAGCGAAGTGGTTGTTGAGAAGAAGATTTTTAAAGAATTTTCCTATATATTTCTATGTAAAACTTTGGTTGGCCATTGTGGTTCCGCCCTACCCCCGGGGGTCATGATTTGAACAAAATTTGAATCTACACTACCTGAGGATCTTTCCCCATAAATTTCATCTTTCCTGGCACAGTGGTTCTTGAGAAGAAGATTTTTAAGACATACCACCAAATTTTCATTAACTCCCAATTATCTCCCCTTGAATGAGGGCGTGGCCCTTCATTTGAACAAACTTGAATCCCCTTTACCCAAGGATGCTTTGTGGCAAGTTTGGTTGAAATTAGCCCAGCGGTTCTTGAGAAGAAGTCGAAAATGTGAAAAGTTTACAGACAGACAGACAAACAGACAGCTAGACAGACGCCGGACAAAATATGATCAGAAAAGCTCACTTGAGCCTTCGGCTCAGGTGAGCTAACAACATCTGCCTTACAAAGAATGTTAAATTCTTAACAAATCCTTGTAAAATTTTACGGTTATAATGAACTCTGATATAACGAATTTACAGATATAGCGAACTGATTTTGGGTCTCGTTGAAGTTAAATATAATGAAATTTACATCTTTTATAACGAACTTTCAAAGATCTCAAAATTTGATAAATTGAACTGACCTTTTTGTTCATGGAATTGTATATATACTCACCGTCAATGAAAACGCAACACTCTAAGGAGATGGGTGAACATGACGAGAGATAAGCCCAAAGCATGACAAACATGACGATGAAAAATTAAATCTCAATTTTATAAAAATTTTCCTTAATATTTCATCTAACATTAAAGTATACTTTAAGTAAAATCTCTACAACTTGCACAAATCTCATGAAAATTGAAGTTATTTGCATATGAAATATTATACACACATAAGAGGACAAAACGAGTCATTTTTTCACACTATAACACTATTTTTCGTTATGAGTGGGTCTTCTCTCCATTTTTTTGAAAGGTAATCCTCAAAGTTTGCATAAAAACATACATATTTTGGTTTCCAAAATTATGGAGCAATGACCCACTATACCTAATATAAGTTTATGACATAACTTTTGTATCTTTTCGAGAAATACTTGAAGTCCCTTAAGTCAATGGTCATATCACAAACATGATTTAAATGCCAGACTTCATCAGGACTTGTGTAGCGTAGTGGTTAGCGTGCTAGTCTCAATGGAGAATGCAACTCAGGATTTTTATTGACAGGGTTTGAACCTACTGGATACCACATTATTTTTCTTTATAAAAAATAAATTTTAACGAAAAATTTTCCTCAAAACATTTTGTTTATAATGATTTTACAAAAAATCAATGATGAGAACTTTACTCTAAATACTAAAATCACAATTTGAATATGATTTTTATATATCTGAAGCTTGTGGGTTTTTTGCATGCTAAGTTCACCCATCTCCTTAAGGGTGAAAAGTATATACAGATTATAACTATGTACCAAAAAAGTTTGGACATCTTTTACTTTGCCAAATCAGTTATTTAACGGTTGAATGAATTTCTTTCCTCTACCTGAAGTTGCTTTTTAGCCCTCTTAACAGAAATCAAATTTTTGCATTTTTAATAAAATTTTTAACAATATTTTGGTTTTTCAAGGTTTTGTAGCTGTTTATCATAACTACTGTACTAAAATCCCGGGAAAAAATCCTTCTTTCCTAGGATGTGATGCCTATATTTCCTCAAAATGACTGATTTACATTGCTAATACCGGAGATTCTCAAAATAAAGAAAAAAAGAGCTGCAGATGCAAATGTACATATTTAACGACTCATCAGGCTCATGTGTTTCAATAGCATAAATAAGTTTCTTGACCGGAAGTCCAAGAGTTACTACACTACGCCAAGTTAGAGAAAATTCGACTGCAGTATCTGAACAACAGGCAATTAAAAATGCCCAAGAATATTTATTTCGCTCAGATAAAGACATTGATAAACCTAATGCATGGTAGAAATTGGACTGCGTTCATGTGTTGTACATGGCGGACTAGCATGTTTTGATTAAATGGTCGGAAGGGGGGGGGGGGTTTATTTAAATGTTATCTGTTAAGAGGGCTAAAAAATCTACTTTCGGTAATGGAATGAAAACCATTCAACCATTAAAAAACTGATTTGGCAAAGTAAAAGATGTCCTAACTTGTTTGGTAAATAGTTATATCCCGTATATAATTTTTCACAATAAAATTAGAGTGTTGCGTTTTCACTGACGGTAAGTATATAATTCAATTCACAATAAAACCTTAGTTATCGAAGGTATGTTTTGTAATATTTGCTTCCGTAACATATTTGGTAGTAATACTAAAAGGAAAATATGCAAATTGCGAATTCGCTTTATATGGTTTTACGAATTCGTTAAACGGTTATAACGAATTACGGATATAGCGAATTAAATTCACATACTAAATTTCATCTAAGTATGTCCCTAGGACTTCGCTATAACTGAGTTTTACTGTACATTCAATTGAATTAATGACAAATTTACCTGAATTTTCTCTGCACTATCTTCAAATGTCTCATTCTTCCTGTACCAGTTGTCCTCCTTCGTTTGGCCTTTACACTCCATTCAACTACAAAAAGATAGGTAATCAGAGATTACAGAGCTCACCTCAACGAATGTTGTCTTTAAGTAAGGCAAAGTCACACAATTAACCAACAAAAAATGTACATCCAAAAAAATGCAAAATCTATGCAATTTTGATCTGATACTTTGGAATAGATCTATATAAAAACTTCAAACTAGTTCTTGGTCATTAGACAGTGTAACATATGAAAAAATTCTTGGGGTATATTTAGATAATTCTTTACAATACAATGTACATATCGACCATGTGTGTAAAACTCTGTCACGTAAAATTTCAGCATTCCGTAGAATTAAAAAGTATCTTCCTCTTCAAACACGCAAGTTGTTTTATAATGCATACATTATGCCTACCATTGATTACTGCCTAACAATTTGGGGAAATACGTCCAGATCAAATCTTGACAGAGTTCATAAACTTCAAAAACATGCTGCAAGGTATATTTTAGATGCTCCCCCTGATGCACCCTCAAGACCCCTTTTTGATGAACTTGATTGGCTTACTGTTTATGAACAGCTTACTGTAAATAAATATGTATTGTTATATAAATCCCTCTTTAATTATTGTCCTACTTATTTACATGAAATGTTTAAATTTCAAATTGATAACCAATATACTCTTCGATCTGAATCAAATGTTGATTTGTGTGTACCAAGTCATAAATGTAAACTTTTTGAAAATTCCTTCCAGTACTCTGGTGCCTTTTTATGGAATGCTTTACCAGTGCACATAAAAATGTCACCAACTCTCAATGCTTTCAAGAGACAAGTAAAACGTTATGTAAAACAATGTCAGAATAATTTGCGATTCATTTTTATTTGTATTTTTATATTTATGTATATATTTATAATATGTCTGTATATGTATAACTATGTATCTTTATATTGTTGATTGTCAGAAGGCCCTGGGGAAGAATAGTGCTTGCACTAATCAGGTTACCTTCTTTAAATAAAGTATTATTATTATTATTATTATTATTAAAACGTAATTAAAATCCAGCATCTGAAGCAAGTTTGAGAGTTTTCATCCCTTGATGCATCATTTATGCAAGTTTGGTTTATTCAACCTTATAGTTTCTTGGTAATAGACCTGCACCCATAACTTTTACCTGGTCGATTATCTGGACAATGTATGTCGATTTCAGCATCCAAAGCAAGTCCATTAGTGTCCATCCCAAGATGTATCATCCATGCAAGTTGCTCAACATAAGGCTCATAGTTACTTGGAAATGAAACCTGCACCAAAAACTAACCTGTTCACTCATGTGAAAATATAGGTCAGATTCAGCATCCGAAGCAAGCCTGATAGAATGCATCCTTAGATGTATCATCCATGCAAGTTTGGTCATTAAAGAGCTCATAGTTACTTGTAAATGAAACCTGTACCAAAAACTTTAACCTGTTCACTCAACCAGAAAATGCAGGTCAGATTCAGCATCCGAAGCAAATCTAGTAGAATGCATCCTTAGATGGATCATCCATGCAAGTTTAGTCATTATAGGGCTCATAGTTACTTGGAAATGAGACCTGCACTTAAAAAACTTAACCTTAACCTGGGACGCCGACACCAAGGGTACACATAAGCTCCCCCAACTTCGTTGAAACAAGAGATGTTTGTAAAACACTTATGCCCCCCTCCCCCCAATTGGAATTTTTTCAAGTCCAAGGGGCAAAACCAGGGTTTAAAATTAACTGAAATTTCCACTAGCCATGTGGGCTCCTAACATTTCAAATTTAGGAGCCCACAGCTAAATTTGTTAGCCCACAGTCAGTTTCTGTAATTAAAAAAAAATGTTCCTTTTTTTGGACACTGGGACAAAAGTAAATTAAAATAAAATATGATTGTGTACAAATACATTTGTTTAAATTGGAGTTCCTACTTTATAAAAATCAAATGTCATATAGATATTTAATTAAAGGAAATAAAATTGAATTCAAGTTTCATTTTTGCTATCCTTTTTTTTTTTACATTGTACACATATACATGTATTTACTCCTTTAAGTTGAACTGTTGAAGTGACAATGGAACATAAATAAGATTTTCAATGTTAAATATTTTAACTGTAACATTTCTGAAATATTAATAAGTAAAAATACTTATAATTTATACGAATAGGTAGTTTGGAGTTATTAAAATTGTATATCTTTCATGTATCAACCATGTACAGAAGAATGGAGGAAATTCGAATTAGGAAAAACCATCATTTTAGGGCTTTCACAAATCATGTAGTACTGTTAAATGGAATAGATGAAGGATATTTACGAACAATAGGACCATGCTGCTGTGATTTATTTCATTGGTTGGGAGTTTTGAATAAACAAGAGGCCCATGGGCCACATCGCTCACCTGAGAAGCTTTGACCATTCTGTTCTTTACCAGATTTCCCCCTTGTTATACATAATGCATCCCCACCCTACCCCACTGATCATAATTTAGACATTTTGAAATCTACACTACTCCATGATCCTTCCATGGGCACATATGTTTCAGCGTTTTTGGCCCAGTGGTTCCTGAGAAGAAGATTTTCAAAGATTTTTCCTATATATTTCTATGTAAAACTTTGATTCCCTATAATGGCCCCGCCCTTCCCCCGGGGGTCATGATTCCTACAATTTAGAATTTACTCTACCCCAGAATGCTTCCATATAAGCTTCACTTTTTCTGGCCCCATGGTTCTTGAGAAGATTTTCAAAGATTTTTCCTATATATTTCTATATAAAAATTTGATTCCCCATTGTGGCCCCGCCCTTCTCCCGGGGGTCATTATTTGAACAATTTAGAATCTACATTATACCAGGATGCTTCCACATAAGTTTCAGCTTTTCTGGCCCAGTGGTTCTTGAGAAGAAGATTTTCAAAGATTTTTCCTATATATTTCTATGTAAAACTTGGATTCCCCATTGTGGCCCCGCCCTTCCCCCGGGGGTCATGATGTGAACAATTTAGAATCTACACTTTACCAGGATGCTTCCACATAAGTTTCAGCTTTTCTGGCCCAGTGGTTCTTGAGAAGAAGATTTTCAAAGATTTTTCCTATATATTTCTATATAAAAATTTGATTCCCCATTGTGGCCCCGCCCTTCCCCTGGGGGTCATGATTTGAACAATTTAGAATCTACACTACCCCAGGATGCTTCCACATAAGTTTCAGCTTTACTGGCCCAGTGGTTCTTGAGAAGAAGATTTTTTAATGACCCAACCCTATTTTTGTCTTTTCTTGATTATCTCCCCTTGCGAGGGGATATGTCCCTTCATTTTAACAATTTAAATTCCCCTTCACCCAAGGATGCTTTGTCCCAAGTTTGTCAAAATTGGCCCAGTGGTTCTTGAGAAGAAGTCAAAAATGTGAAAAGTTTACAGACGGACAGACAGACAGACAGACAGACGGACGGACGGACGGACAGACAGACGGACGGACGACGGACAAAATGTGATCAGAAAAGCTCACTTGAGCCTTCGGCTCAGGTGAGCTAAAAAAACCTGTGGAAATGTCTGTTTTTCAGTGAGGGCACTGGTAGAATGAATTCGGCCCCTGCAGAATTTTCATTCGCAATGTGGGCGAGCAAGTTATAAATTTTATGAGCCCACACAAAATTTTACTGGCAATTTGCGAGTGGGCTAGCGTTAATTTTAAACAATGGGCAAAACTCTGTCAAAAATGGCACGATTGTACCCAAAACATAACTTGACCTAGATATTCATCTGATAAATCTGTATACTAAATTTCATCTCGGCATGTGCAACGGTTGCAAAGAAAATGAACGGAAACTGCAAATAATTGAAATTTTTCTAAGTCCAAGGGGCATAACTCTGTGAAAAATGGTGCAATCATACCTAAACCAGAACTTGACCTAGATATTAATGTGATATATCTGTGTACAAAATTTCATTTCAGTATGTGCAACGGTTGCAAAGAAAATGAACGGAAACTGCAAATAATTGAAATTTTTCTAAGTCCAAGGGGCATAACTCTGTGAAAAATGGTGCGATCGTAACCAAAACAGAAGTTGACCTAGATATTCATCTGATAAATCTGTATACTAAATTTCATCTCAGTATGTGCAACGGTTGCAAAGAAATTGAACGGAAACTGCAAATAATTGGAATTTTTCTAAGTCCAAGGGGCATAACTCTGTCAAAAATGGCGCGATCGTAACCAAAACAGAAGTTGACCTAGATATTCATGTGATATATCTGCATACTAAATTTCATCTAAGTATGTGCAACGGTTGTAAAGAAATTGAACGGAAACTGCAAATAATTGGAATTTTTCTAAGTCCAAGGGGCATAACTCTGTCAAAAATGGCGCGATCGTACCCGAAACAGAACTTGGCCTAGATATTCATGTGATATATCTGTATACCAAATTTCATTTCAGTATGTGCAACGGTTGCGAAGAAAATGAACACAAACTAAGTGGACCGACAAACCGACGGACCGACAGACAGCAGCAAAGCAATATGCCCTCCCTTCTTCGAAGGGGGGCATAAAAATGAAAATTTTATCTGTTTCAGGATTTGACACTTAGGATGTTTGACCAACTCATTTTAGTAAGTGAGGGGTCCAGTAATGTAAAAGGTTTCTATATGGCGACTTATTTAGTCAACATGTCACCTATAATTCAGTTTTGCTCCTAAAATTTTTCTGTCAGACAACCATTTCAAATTGACTTGGCGAATGTCAAATTCTGGAACTATAACATTTTGTCAAATTCTGGAACTATAAAATTTTCAACATTTTTTTCATACAGAGGAGAGAGATGTCTTGAGTTTTCTTTGTCACCTTGTTGTTTTTTTTTTTATCATGCATGTGCAAACGAAATTTCTTGTCCATGCACACAGAGCTCAGAGTCCCAGGAAAGAAATATGCATGCTAACTCTCAATTCCCGCCTACATTTTGCAACCATTTAATTCAATATAAATTGCAATATTTATAAATATTGGCCATAAATCTTTGTTTAAAACAAAGAACAGTTCAATGGTAATTG